CAGGAAATAAACAAATGTTTTTAAAATGGAAGAAAAAGAAGAGTTACACAGGTTATTTATTTTATTTTTGATAGTGTTGGACGTTGAAACCAGGACCTCACACATGCTAGGCAAACACTGTACCACTGGCTAAGTTACTGAGGCTAATGTCTGGCTAAGTTACTTAGGCTGGTCTTGAGCATGCTTCAGCCTCTGGAGTAGCTGGGATTACAGGTATGCACCAAAATGCCTAGCTAAGTGAAAAGTTTTCAAAGAGTCATAGGCAGCATGTGGGCCCTCAGGAAACATCCTGCTCGGATCCCTGGGTTGTCGGACGAGCATGCAGATTCATCTTTTGACCATGCTGTCACCTGGCACAGTTGACCTTAACCTAGAGAGATTTCAGCTTGCCCTAATGTACCAACCTGAGCCTGTGAAGGCTGGAAACTAGCTAGTGGCAGAAGCCAGAATAGGACAAGGAGAGTCAACTTCTAGGACCTGTGGGAGAAAGACGGAGAAAGGCTTCCTGGAGCCCCTGTGGGAGGGGGTGGCTTCTGGAAGCAGAGAGAAGCCCCCAGCCTACTGGCAGCAGAAGTCAGGGACGTGGCTTCCACCACGGCAAGGGACAGACTCAGGGCTGCCAACAGCCGGAAGAAGTCTGGCCGCCCATTCCTCCTCAGGGACTTCAGAAGGGAACGCAGCCCACTGACACCTGACTGCAACCTTGCGGACCCTGAGCAAGACCACCAGGACTGATACAGACTGCTTCCTCTTCCCACGGAGAGATGTCTGCTGTGAATGGCTTCTGCCAAATTTACCTCTGGCGCTGATGACCACAGTGATAGAAATGAAGAAAAAATGGAGTCCTCGGGGAACATTTTCTCACTCTCTGCTAAATGCATATCCACATATTTGTGAGTATGAGGATATATATGTGGGTTTTTGATTTCTGTTTAATTCATTTTAAATATTTGGACATCTTGTCATCTTGGCAGAAAAAAAGTCCAAAAGGGGAAGGGAGTGAGACAAGAGCATTCTGGAATTGTCTTTCCAGACCCCTCTGATGCCTTCTGCCTCAGGGCTTCTCAGGGCAGCGACGGGGGGCAAGGTGGGTATCTCGGAGGCTTCCTCTTCTCTGTGGCACAGCATGGTATTTTCAAGGCCACGGGTCCACTTTCATGAAGACATTTGGTCTTGGGACGTCACAGGGGAGCAGGGGTCAAGGCAGTGCCGGTGTGTTCCAGTTCTGCCTGTCTCGGGAGCTCTTGACGTGAGGGGACTTCAGGGAGTCTGTCCGCCACACAGGCTCACTGGGGGTCTCCAGCCAGGTGAGGTGTTCCTCTCAGGTCACAAGATACAGGTAGGGAAACATCACACTGTACCCCACCAACTGGCACAGTTCTTATGAGTTATTAAAAATTTTTTAAAATTCCCTTTTTTATTAGTATAGGTATGTGATACATAATAAACACATTCACCGTGGGGAGGTAGTGCATACACATACGGCATCTGGGTATCTGAGTCCTTCTTACTTCCTCTCTCCCTCCTCTTTCCCATCCTCCTTCCCAGAACCCGTTCCCCTCTTCACAAATTCCATTTTTTATTTTGCTCCTAAATTATTTATACTTTGAGTTTCTCAGTAATATTTTCCAAAAGAAGGGAAGGAGGGTGGGACATTGCAAGGTGGGGTGAGGAAGCCGCACACCCTGCACCGTGCCCACAGGATGTCCCATAGGCCTGGGATTGTGGTAGGGGGGAGATGCTAGGTCAAGTCGGGAGGACAGTGCAGGGTCTGGGTGGCAGGTTCCAGCCCAGCAGGGCCCTGGTTTGATCCCAGAGGTCATTAGAAAAGGAAGAGGCTGTTCTGGGGATCCAATTGTGGCAGCCCCGTTTCACCAAGCTTATCTTCACAGGAGCCCTTGTCCTGGCTGCCTGATGGACCTTCTTCCCCCTTTCAGTTAGGACCCCACCCAGCTGACACTTCTTCAAGGAGCTGGGCCCTGCCGCTGCCTCACCTCAAGCAGGAGCAGTTGCAGGTATCCCCAGCCTTGCTTCTCACTTGGCCTTGTTACCTCCTGCATGGAGGACACTCTGGTGTGTGGAATGACTGTCCCCCGTAAGTGACACACAAGCCCATGAGGGCACCCTTGGTTCATTTTATTACTGTTGAGTGACCATCAAGGACCTGTGCATCCTAGGAGAAGGGGAAGTGGGAAACTGAGCGAGCTGCATACCAGGCTGTGATGCTCTCTCTGGGCTGCAGAAGGTAGAATGATGGCCCCCAAAGGTGTCCATATCTGAATTCCTTGAGCCTTTGTGTATGTTTCTTGCATGGAAAAGGGATTTGCAGCTGTGGTTCAGTTAATGATCTTCACATGGGAAGGTGATCCTGGGCCATCTAAGGGGAAGGGTCCCTGTATCACCACAGAAGTGGCCTCCATAAGACAGGGGTGGAAGGAAACTTGACTACAGTGCTGGGAGCTCCAGCAACTGAAGGGGGAAGCTGGGAAGACATGAGGAAGTGGCTGTGAGGCAAGGAATTCAGGAAAATTCTAGAAGCTGGAAGAGGCAAGGAATGGATTCTCCTCTGGGGCCTCCAGGAGGAGCCAGCCGTCCCAGCACCTTGCTTTTAACCCCATAGGACTCGCCGCGAACTTCTAGGACTGTAAAATAATGAATGAATTTGGCTCTGAGCACATACATTTGTGGTAATTTAGGGCAGCAACAGAAAATAAAACCAAGGCCCAAGACTCCTGGCCATAGGCCCTCTTGGGGGTCATGTGGAGGCCATCATTCTTCTCCTCACTGTCAGGGGATGGGCACCACCCCACGGGAAAGTGGGCTTGAAGGCCGCTGGCAGATTCTCAAGTCTGACCTTGATAAAATGAAGGCAGCTTGTGCCAGAAGGGCAGCTCTGGTCTGAAGAGGCCTCAGGTGAGTACACCTGGGCCTTCAGCCACCGAGTCCCAGCCTAGATTCTGCCTCAAGTTACCTAAGGGTCCCAGAAAAGCCTTAGGGAAGGGTTCTGTCCAGATGTGTTGAAGTCTGTAAGAGCCGGTTGGGAGCTCAGACTCCTGGAGATTCCATTATTCAAAAGCAGTGGGTGACATATTTTTTCTTCAGGAAATGATTGTTTCCAGGTCTGATTTAAATTCTGTCTAGCTTTGCATCTCCAGGATCTGATATCAGTTGGTGCTCAATAAATGCTGAATTAAGCTGAAAAACATTAATCTGTAGTTATCTGAGGCAGGAACTTCAAATTCCTGTCTCTTTACAGACTTCCTTTTACCTGTGGCTAGAAAGATAGACTGATAATGGTCCAAGATGTACCGCCTGTCTGTCTGTCTGTCTCTCTCTTTCTCTTTCTGTGAAGTTTCAGACTATTTATTCACTGATCTGTGATCAGCTCACCTCCCTGCCTTCACCACAACCCCCAGCCCCCATTGGCCATAACCTGTCCTTATCTCTCCGAGGTACTTCAGTGACTCCAGGGTCTTCAGGAACCTGTATATCCTCCTCTGCAGGTCCTCTGTCCCCACCACAGCCCCTACAAGTCCCAGGTCACAGGGGGCTCTGGAGGGTACACCTGAAGCCTTCCCTCTGCCCAGAACCCAGGCCCTGGTGAGCTCCTGGTCATCCTTTGCTGGGGCTCCCCTTCCTGTGGTGGCTCCTCCCACTCTTTGGGCCACACCCTCCTCAGAAGGCCCATCCTCAGGACTGAGTCTCCAGTTCCCCTCCTCAGAGGGGAAGCAGAGACTGATTCCTCTGCTCTGTGCCCTTCCCAGCTCTTAGTACAGCTCAGGAAGCGAAGGTGGCAGCTGGTTTCAGTTTGTGATCTGCTCTGCTGTACTGCGAGGCAGACCCCTGGGTTCCTGCTGGGCACCCTGGAACTTCTTATTAAGGGACTGAGCCGTGTGCTCTTGTGGTTACTGTCTGTCCCTGTCAGTCTGCATCTATCCACTCTTACTTCATCCCACCACTCCTGGGATATGGCTGCTGCAGCCCTGAGCTCCTCTGCCTTGCCTAGTTGGCGCTCAACTCTGCCTGCCCCAGTGGGCATCTACAGACACATGGGGAAGGAACTGCACAGGGTGGTTGGCAGAAGAAGCAGGACAAGAGGGCAGGGCCTGGTTGCTGGGAGCTCCTGGTCACAGAGCAGCCCCATTCTGGCTATTAAACAGTTACCACCCAGGAGACAGCCAAATAAAGACACCTTTAGGAGACACATTGCAGATTGGAGGGGGCAGGGGAGGGAGTTCATATTAAACCATGTTCTCATCTAGTTCAAAATACCCTGCCTGGCCCATTTTTAGGGATGAGGGTAAGAAAGAAAAAAGTAAAAGGGCAGGGAGGCAAACACCTGCCCCTGTTCCGCCTTTGGAGTCCATGGGTGAGGCTCATGTCCCATCAGGTCACCCTAGGCTCTCTCTCCCTGATACCCTGGCGACAAAGCCTATCTCTGAGCCTGCACTGTCCTCATCTCATCCCCAGATAAGGACGCAATCCACCCCTCCGCACCAGGGCTGGAACCACAGCTTGGACGCAGGGCCACGGGGCTGCAGGTTACCTGCTGTCACCTGCTCGGACAGGTGAGGCAGCGTGAGACAGGGAACAGAGCATATCCCCTCTCCATCCTCTCTGGGGCCCCAGACTTTCCAAACTTGGCAGCGGCAGCTGCCTTCCTCCTCTGGGGGTTATTTCAGACCGGGGTGTAAAGGGGACCAAAATATCCGGGAAGTCTATAATTGGACAGAGTTGTCTTGGTTTTCCTGGGCTTGGACAGCAGCCTCGGTGTAGCTTGGAATCCAAAACTGTCCTGGTCCCCTCCTGGTGCCCACCTCCCCCATCAGCGTCTCGGGCCCTTGGCTTTGGTCCGGAGGGCCTCCCCACCCCTCCGCCTTCCCACACCTCCCCCAGCATTCCCCCGGGGAACCGCGGCCCCTCCCCCTCCTGCTCTCCCCGCCCCGCCCCCGGTCCCGCCCCCTCCCCCCGCTCTCTTAGCTGGGGAATCCCAGCGCTGCGCCGCTTTGCCCCTGGGGAGGCTCGGGGTAGCTTTGTTCTTGGCAGCAGCCAGGCTGGCTGGGGCTAATCTCTTCTCCCAAAGGAAGTGTCTTCTCCCTTCCCTGTTTTTCTGCCTCTCACACACTTTCTATTCCATTCTGTGAGTTTCCAGCCTTACCTTCTGACGGTAGATGGTTATTTGTTTTAAAATTTAAATCTCTCTGTCTCTCTTTCTCTCTTTCTCCTTGGGCTGGGGAAAGACATATTTTATTAAGCCTTGCTCAGAGACGCAATGTGCTAGAATTTGGGGGAGAAGGTGGGTGAGTTGCTCACAGGTGGCCCCAGGAGGGGGCTGCCTGGGGCTGGCATCTTCTGCAGACCGTGTTCGCAGTGGCTCTGGGCCCTGAACCGGAGCTCAGCTGGCATCCCTGAGAGCCTTCCTGCCAGGTAAGGCCTGAGTCCTCTCCTCCACTGCAGAGGTCCGCTGGGCCTCCTCCCTCCTTCCCCAGACGCGCGTGGGACAGGGCTAGGTGCGAAGTGAGGAGAGTGAGCGCTCCTTCCATCCGCTGTTCAGTTTCTTGCTAAATCCCTTTGAGGTGAGCCAGGTCTGGCACACTGCTTTGGTGCTTTACCTGGATTGCCCAGGGTCAAGGAGCAAACCCCAGGAGCATACCTGCTGGGTTGGCGTTGAGCAGCCCCGGTGTGGTGTCAAGCGCAGGAGCCTGGAGTGACTGCTTTTGAAGTGTTGAGATGTGCCTGCCTCTCACCTTTCCTGTGAGGAAGCTGGTGTGCAGTGGGAGAGAAGAGTAGGGAGGCCACGGGGGAGGAATGGGGGAGGAATAGCCTGCAGTTGGAATTGCACCCACTGCCTCAGGAGTTGGCCTTTTTCATTTAAATTTAGATCTCTTTCCTATTTGAACATTTTTGCCCCTCTGTCATTTCCTCTAGTCCATGTGGTGTTTTATCTTTTACTGTTTTTTCTGCATATGTTGTTCTTGTCCCAGTTGACGGAATTTGATGTGCTGACGGACAGGGTGCTTGCATGTCTCATCAAGGCTGGACCCAGCCATGACAGGCTTCTCAGACATCCCTGTGCTGGGGCTCCATGCAGGGTCCCCTGCTCAGACTTTCATTACATTCCATGTCACCTATCAGCCCCACGGCTGGAACTTCTTGCTGACACGGGTCATTCTGTCTCCCCACCTGTCTGTCTCACGTTGACCTTTATGCCTGGCAAAATCCTAGAACATTGTAGACTACATCTTCAGACTCCCTGTAGCTTAGTTCATGGTCTTGTTCCAGAACGTTCTTTTCCCCCTGGGAGCTCCCTTTGTGGGGAGCCAGGACATACAGTGAGCTATGGGGGAAGTGTGGGAGACTGGCTGTCAGTCTTGGTGTCCAGTCCTAGCTTCGTGGCTTTGTCTGGCTGTTCTAAGCCAGATGACTCTACACAAGGAGTCTCCATTTCCACATTTGCCAAAGGAAGATGACAGGGCCTCTGATCGGAGCAGGTAACAGGCAGAGTGTCTGGAATGTGGCGGGCTGCAATGTGCTCTAGTTTGCTTCTGTCTCACAACCCGCCACCTTCCCCCTCCTACATCTTCTGGTTGCTCTGTGACTAAACAGCTCCAAGTTGTTGTTTTCAGATCCTGTTGGGCTTCTTCTCTCAGACAAGATATTGGACGTGATAAAGGGGGCCCAGGGAGCCATGGACTCTTTAAAGTGCATGGAGGGGAAGTGTGTTTGTATCTGGTATTGTGGAATTTGTTCAGAGTACCTTTGTCCTGATTCCTCTGTGGAAGATAAATGCAAATGCACTCAGAGGAGGGAAAGAGGTGGTCTTGGGAACAGAAGCTATGGTTTGTGTGGAAAAATAAACAGTAGCTCTGGGGACCTTCTGGTGTGGGGAGGAGAATACAGTTGGCCTCAATGGCCTGGGGAGGGGACTGTCCTGAAGAAGAGGCAAGTGACCTACCTTTTGGTCCCAGAAGGTGGAAATTAGGAGGATTAGTGGGCAAGTTTCACTGGATGCCAAATTGGATGTTCACATTGCTGTCCAGAGATGGGAGGGGAATGGACACATGAGGTGGTGAGTTTCCCCTTATGAGAGGTGCTCAAACAGGTTGCATGGCCATTTCACTGGGCTGTTGGAGAGCTGGTGTGACCCTGAGTGCTTGGACCAGGTCTGACCCTGAGTGCTTGGACCAGGTGAGCATCTAAAGTCACTTTGTAGCTGGAGGACCTGTCACTCCTTCTCAGCTCTAAGAGTCGCACTGACACCAACACCCACCCGCCTCTCTGCCTCTGTTCGGCAGTGATAATGGTGCTGGGCCTGAGGGAGGGCACACTGGCCTGTGCATATGGGAGCCAGGACTGTGAATGACATCTGTGCCACTCATGTCTCAGTTTTGTAAACCAGAATCAGAGAGTGGGAATGCTTATCTGAGGACAGGCAGAGGGAAGATGGATGGAGGAGGATTCAAATACCATTTTCATGTCAACAAGAACTTTTGCCTTGTGGTGGGGAAAGTTCCCCTCAACAAGGCAGCAGCATTACTCATTGAGGGCCCTTCAAGAGGGGCTAGAATGTGAGAGGCTGGCAGGGGAAGCTTAGGGTGGGGGAGCTCCCTGAAGATTGTTTAGCCAGTTCTGTTTAAGAAGTAGTAGGCATGGTGGAACACACCTGTAATCCCAGCACACTGGAAGCTTGAGGCAGGAGGATCACAAGTTTGAGTTCAGCTGGGCAATTTATTGACTTAGGGAGACATTGGGTTAAAATAAAATGTTACTTATAAGAGTACTGGGGATGCAGCTTAGTGAAAAGGTATTGAATGCATCCCCAGTGTCACTGAGGGAAAAGCAATGAAGGCAATGCCAGGTTGCACAGCAAACATAGCTACAAAATCTAGAGAGCTGAGAAAAGGGCCATTTCCCCATTCTACAGATGAGGAAAACAGAGGCCTCCAGAATGGGAATAACCTGCTGGGTTTGCATGTAGAAACAAAGCTTGGTTTTAGGTCTCATGAAGTTCTGGGACAGAGGGTCTGACACTCTGGTCTCTCACCCAGCACTGGGCACTGTGTGTGTGTGTGTGTGTGTGTGTGTGTGTGTGCTTAGTATCTGAGATCAAGAAAATAGATTGGTATCGTAGCCCCTGCACTTGTCTAGGGCCAATACAGACAGGGATTGTGGTATTAACGAACAGAGATGACCACATGAATGAATGACTGATATGACCTGACCGCTCCTGAGCTGTATTATTTAGCAAAATCAGTGACTTGCTTTTGGCTCTTAATAATGATGTGCTTCAGATGATTGAGTCTCCAGGAGGAGGATTTCCGGGTCAGAGGGCATGCACACTTTAATGGCTGATGATTTGTGAAAGACTAAATGCTAGGGTGACATCATGATACCAACAAACAAAAGTCCTGACAGACTCCAGGGCATGCATGAGGGCAGTGTACTTACCTGCTGGGGCCTGAAGATGCCCTGCCAGAATCCACGCAGAGGCCTCTGCAGCCTGCTCCATCTGAAGCACGATCCCCTTCCCTGTCCACCTGCCTTTGTTTCCACACCCAATTTCTTCAGGCTGACCCTGGCTATCTTCTGGTAGAGAGGAGTATATCTGTAATTTTTGTTTGTAAGTTTGGCTTATAATCATGTTTTGAAAAAAAGGTTAGAATGTATCCCGCCTTTGCTGTCTCTAAGGAGAAGGGTTTCCTTTAACAACATACGAGCAGATGCAGGTTAATTGCAGCTGTCCTGTCCTGTGCAGCAGCTACGTGGCCAGGATCACAGTCCAGTCATAATGTCCCAAAGCGAAGAAGAAGCAAACCAACCACAACAATATAGCAAATGAAATTTCATTTTAAAAAGGGAATGCAACTTCAGTTATGCCTGGCATCTTTAGTTAGGATGAATGAATTCTACTGTGCAAAGTTGTGACGAGGTAAAACAATGGTATATTGTATATTTAACAATCCTGAGAACAGATTTGATGTAAAAAGTTCTTACCACAAGTAAATAAAAATAAAAAGAACCAGCAATTTCACTGGGATATAGTTTAGGGTGACCACACAAGGTTTTGGCAACTAATCACACCTCTCATAGGCATCTTGTGTCTGAGAACTCTGGAGCCCAGCGGGGCATGTTGTGTGGTCCTCTTACCCTGCAACTGAGTCCTTGCAGTTTGCTCCTTGCAGGAGCAGAGGAATCGCTACCTTCTAACACAGCCTGAGGTGTGTTGTTGAGTATATGGTACAAAGTTCTTCCCTTCATCCAGAGGAAAGCTCTTTCCCCGCCACTTTTATCTGGCAGTTTTTATTTAATCTTTTTGAACATACTTGGCATTAATTAAATCCCCTTCCCATGACATAATTTTAGCCCTGTAAAACCAAAAATAATTCTAAGTCTAAACACGGGTGGGACAGGCACATCCGAGGCTTTCCCCCAGCCACATACACCCCTGTGGCTTAGCGTGCTGTGTCCCGCTATGAGGGACACACTCGGACCTACAGACAGGAAGGCCCATAGCTGGTAGCCGGCAGAACTGGGATTTAGACTCATAATTTAACCTAAGGCCTAGCTCTTAACATTCCAAACTACATGAAATGTAAATGTACATGATTCGTATAAATGAATACAAGGTAAACATGTATAATTCATATATAGGTAAACATATAATTCAGATGAAAAGCCGAGTGTGGTAGCTGGACATTTTTTTTTCCTTTTCAAAAACTATTCCTTGTTAGAGAGTTTTAAACCATAAAAGTAAAGAAAGCATCTTGTTACAAGTGCAGTAATAGCAGCCCTCCTATAATACCAGTTTTCCCTCAATTTAAACAGTAGGGACATTCTAGCAAATACCCTTTCACAGTCTCATTTGTTTCCAGATATACACATCAATCCAAATCCAGTATTTGAAGAATGTGGGGACAATAATAAACAAGAACTAAAAACATATTTACCTGGCTTTTAGGAGATACCCATAAGCCAATGACCAGTGAAATGTTATATATTGCCATTTTTGGTCTAATGCCTGCTATGAGCCTGTTGGGTAGTGGTGCTGTGCTGCCTTCCACCTTAAGCAACACAAAGACAGAAGAAGGCCCCTGGAGAAACATCTGAATGTCTTAACAGTGACGGGTCCTGGCTTCACACCCCTCCCTCCACACACACCTGCCAAGGCCTCTGTCATCAGCTGCTGTGATCACCTGCCAGAGTGTCTGTTTGTGCTAGGCCATGAGCTCCTTTGGTCTGTGATTTCTGCATTTCTTAGCTCTGAACCACCAGCGTTTGCACAATTCTGGGCACGTCAGAGACTCAGCACATCTTTGTGGAATGAAGCAATTTAAACATAGTGATAATCAAGTGCTTCTCAAGGAGTTGAAACCACTGTACAACTCATGACACGTGATAGGTGTCACATTAATATTAATAGAGCTACA